AATCCAATTTATCCTTAATATCAAATTATTCAACAGTATCTACATAAGCAGACTATAATGCACTGAAGAAACAGTAACTTTCAAACCAATATTGCGTCATAACCGCCAATTACCTGATTTCTAAAGATGACATTATGTGATATCCGAAGAATACCTAAATCATTTATAAATCTGAAACTATGAAATTTGAGGCTTATTTCTCTGTTATTTTAACAAAATCTGTTCATCTTATAAATAGTGGCAGGCTTAATACAATATCTGTAAAACAAACTTATTCACAAACGTAGATTTATATTTTTAATGATTTTTATGTTCTATGGATAAATATATTTGGATACTTTGTGCACTGTTCTAAGGCTTTCACTTTCTTCTAAAGTGGCCAAATAAACTACGTAAGTGATTGAGATCATGAATTAATTGATGTTAGGCCACCATAGAAAACCTGGAAGTATTGAACGGCCGTTTCGTCCTATATGGGACTTCTTAACAGTGTGCGTCAACGATCCCGCACGTGAGATTAAAACTCAGGACCTTCAGTCTTGCGCGCGAACGCTTAACGTCTAGACCACTGAGCCGGATTCCTTTTGTACTGGTGCTTACTTCAACTAATCCACGAAATTGCGCGACCATATTCCATTGTCTTTATCCGATACGGATCGGTTTCCACTGGTCACGGTTTTCCACTAAAACACTGAGAATTCCCTCATGAAGCTAGTCACTAGTGAGCACATAGTAATTATCATTAAGGTATTGTGAAGATTGTTAAGTTTTTGATTGATACCAAAATACTTATATGCCCCAAATACCCAGGTACGGTCGAGATGGGAGAGAGTTCACTATCCTTCTCTAAGTGCTTTCACATGGCCACGTGCATACAAAAGCTGCCGGAGAAGTCTTACCTACTGCCTTCTGGTGGCGGATCTGCTGTATGCAAAATTAAGAGAATGAATAGCGAATGCCCGGTGCTTGAAACGGGTTGATAGATATAGAGTATCCACTTAAGGGAGTTGAAAAACCCTGATTTCAAACTGACTGTATACATCGGCTCCAAGGTGTTGAGGGAACAAAAAGCATATGAACCTATTGTTGGCCACTGGCTATCATGGGACTGCATCTCTTAACGTTTCTCGACTGCCTCGTGAATTAGACCTGTCGGTCAGGGTGTGACCTCCTAAGAAAACCACCTTCTTCGGTCTGGGCACTCTGGTAGTATTACAGCCCTCACACAAATCAATGATAACTACTACTGGCGTCGCTGCAATTGTGCAGTGCATATGTATTTGGTGTCCTCTTGAATGAATGTTTGTGTGCTAAAAGAAATTAATAAATATCTAACAAATAAATGATCAGGCCTTCAAAATCTGTCTTACTTAGTGAATAATATTTACGACGGCTAACGGGACTGACGTTAGGAATGTAACTAAATAGATGTTGACTTGGTGGTCTAAAGGTATCCCAATAACGCAAAGATAAGAAAATCTTTGATTGGATCATAGTTGAGGTTGCTGAAGCATCTTACTGTAAAGTCGTAATCTGGACTACATATCATCTTACTTGTTTTACTAGACCGGAAACACTTGTTTTTTCTAAACAAACGTTTTGTACTTGTTAGGTCAAGTCTAGCTTTTCCTTATACTAAATGTTATTATGGAACACCAGCACAGATTTTAAAAAGTCACGCAAATGATTTCAATCAACAGGTTTATAATATTGTATATATTAATAATCTAATAATTGAATTGGTAAAATGTCTAATGTCTAACTAACAAATAAATGATTCACAATTACTTATCTCTTGATCAAAAACGATGCGTTATCCACTTTCGATGTGATAAGGTTGAGACTATTTTTAGAGTGGTAATGAAACGTAAAAGCTTAATTGTTTTATTCGTAAGAGTATAAAAGGAATAAGCCACGTAGCTTTTAGGGTTGCTATTTTGAAATAACCATTCTCTATAACTATACTAAAAACCTAATTATTTAGAATGTACACTGAAATGCTTTGTTTATTTAACTTAGACGAATATAAGTCACAAAACTGTACCCTATAGGAGCTAAGGCATTCTACTTAATTACTTACTACTCAAAAATCCAATGACACTTATGCATAGTTGGTATGACAAATATTTCATAGAATTAAGATGAAATCATTCAAGAACAATGATCAATGTGAGAAGTTTAAAAGAGACGTTGGCTGAAAGATAGAACAAAGTCTTACTTATAGTTCAAATCCAAGAGTTTAATGACTATGAACTTGGAAGATTTCAAAGCATTTATGAATAATACAATTATTTACCCAAAGAAGACAATCATGTTATATAATGACTAACTAATGTTAAGAAAACGTTTACATATACTGAAATATTTTTTTATTATGTTCACAAGAGACTCTACTTAATTCACAGTAACACACTCTAGAAAAAAGAAGGCTAAACTATTCTATAAATGACAAAGTACAATCGATCCTTCATTGCTAGAATTGTCTTAATCTTTTAGTGATTATAAAATCTCAGCAATTTGTTGATCCATAACAAAATTCATTTCAATTCATTTATCTAGTTATTTTCTACATTCAATGTCAATTTTTAAAAAAAAATGTGTAGAAACATGAAAGAATTCCATAAGTATTACAAGACTATTCTTTCAAAAATCATTAGGTGTAAACGAAAACATTTTCGGTGAGACCATAATTTATGGACGACCTTTAGGTGACGCTAAAGAGACCTTTAAAATGTCCACCTATGTGAAGAATAAGGATTATGATTAACAGTTAATGGTTAGGGTTGGGAATTAGATTTATGGTTTATCATTACGAACTGACATCAGCTACAATGCTGAAATGGTACTTAGCTAAATGAATGAATGAATTTTGCACCAAAATCCAAGACTTGTTATCCTAAATCTGATTGGTTAGTCTATAAATTATAGTCTTGGCACTTTTCCGTCTAAATATTTACTATTACAGTCAATAAAATCAGTTAGATTTTTAAATCTTTTTACAATGTATCTCAAAGTAATCAGACGAAAAATTTGAATCTAAACTTTATCACTTATATGCACTTTTTCAATGAGTATCTGTTGAACATCAAATAAAACAGTTTACATTCTTCATACGTCCTATCGTAATCGTATTATGATCATATGTATTAGAAAATTACAGTTACCGAACTGTCATTTAAGTTTATCAGTACATAAAACCTAAACATTTTAATTAGACAAATAGTTACTTAGTGTAAATGTATATTAATTAGTAGTCGACAAATGATGATCTTATGTTAAAATGTTAGTTATGTTTCACACAATTTTGTATAAAACTAGACCTTCATGTCATATTTTTCATAAAATGAAAGGTTTATAAAGAAAAAAAGTGGTAAGATAAATAGTTCTAGCCTATATAAAACTGTCCATAGTGAACCGTATCTTAATCTTCATAAACATTAAATGAAATCTTTGAATATGTCACGGGAGAGGACAAACCAGCTTCCAGCTGAAGAGGAAATTAGGATCGGACATACATTGAGGAAATCACTAAACTGCATCACAAGGCAAGCACTAACTTGGAATCCGGAAGGGAAGCGGAAAAGAGTAAGACAAAGAACACACTACGCCCGAAAATAGAAGCAGATATGAAAAGGATGAATAACAACTGGAAAGAACTGGAAAGGATTGCCGAGGACAGGGTTGAGTGGAGAATGTTGGTGGGTGGTCTATGCTTCTCCATGAGGGGTAACAGGCGTAAGTAAGTATAATAAAGTATAAATTAACTAAACATTTTGTCATTTCAGTTGATTTTTCTGATATTAATGAACACTTTTTACCATGTTCATAGATTTGATAACATTAAAACATAATCTTGGTGATAAAAATTCTCAAGCGGTTTAAACGCTGTAAAAGAACATTATGTTGCCAAAGACGTCAGTAATCAGTATAAGTCTGTTGAGACATAGTTTTGATTACTTAAATTTGTGAAGCACCAAGTTATGTGGAAAAAAGTTGTGAAATAAAACGCAGAGAGACAGACTGTCGTTTTCCTGATATTGTCAAGTCATGATAATTGAGATCATGAATCAACCAATGTTAGGCCATCATTGATAACCTGGAAGCACTAAACGGCCAGTGCTGACAAGTCATAATGTATTATTAGCTTAACGCTGTTAATTTATTCACCAATATCTACCAAATTTCGAGCACTTTTCTTAAATCTATAAGCTCTTATCATTTTAACTTCCTAATTATAAAACTTTTGTCTGTACAACTACTCTAAAACATTTGTAGTATGTAGTGTAACATGACTGATTTTTCTATATACAAGTATCATCGTAATGAATTGACAAATTTACTAAATAACTAGATATACCCATATGGATAGAATATTATCTCATTTAGTTAGCTTATGATAAATACACATCCGTATGTATAAACATTTTCTTAGATCAGAAGGGGTTTTGTGGAGAATTTAGTATTTTCATAGTTGGAATCATGAGTCGATTGAAGCTAGACCACCATGGAAAACCGGGATGCACTGGACGGCCGTTTCATCCTATTATGGGACTCCTCAACAGTGCGCATCCACGGTTCAGCAGTCGCGAGATTCGGCCGTCCAGTGCTTCCAGGTTTTCCATGGTGGTCTAGCTTCAATTGACTCATGATTTTATTAGATGATATTTTCTGTGATGGTAATCAGAGAACTTCATATTACAAATATAAGACAAATAACTTACATGATCTTTATATTAGAATCTCCATTTAATCCTGAATGTAATTCATTAGATTTAGATTTTTGTTTTATTCTATATAAATAATTTTTATATTTCATTGCTAACATTTTAGTTCGTGGATTTCTACAAGTTAACCTACGTGAATTATTATTATTACGAATGTAATGGGTTTTATGTTTTGGAATTTTATCAAGTATACTATTTAAATGACTTGAATTATTATCTGTTATATTAAATGAATTTGATATTTCATTTATATAATTACAACTAAATGAAGAATCTGATGTTTTATGCATAGGATCATTATACATTAACATTGATGATTGTGAATACTTTCCATTAAGATTAAGGTCATTTTGACACATAGAATAATGTAATACTTCATAGTTTCGAATACATTTACTTGTTTTATATGTTAAACTATTATTAGGAAGATTTTGATCAACTATAGTTGAACAAGAGATATGTACAGTTATTGGATTAATATCACATTGATGATTTAGATTAATGTTGCTATGGTTATCAACTTTAAAATTATGTTTATGATTTGTTTTAATAGAAGAACATAATTTATTACATAATTTTATACATTTGATAAACCTTTTAAATGAATTAAAATATGTATGATGTAAATTCTTAGTGTATTGATCATGATGATCATGATCATGATCATAAGATTGTTGAGAATTTGTTATTTGTTGATGTAAAATAAATAAAAATAAACAAATAAAAATAAATATTATTATATAAATAATAAATAATGAACTTTCCATTGATTATTTAAAATAAATAAATAAAATTATTTAAATTTAAAAATTTATTACAATAATTTATTGAATTTATATTATTTAAATGAAATAATTTCTGATTGGTTAATCGTTTTAACCAATCAAATAAAGTTTTTTTTTATTTTTGAATATTCATAACATTTCATTATTGAATTATTTTTTTTTATGATTAACATTAAAGAAATAGTTTAGTAAAAGATAATTTTAATTTAATCCTTTTTTTGATGAAATAACAATTTTGTTTTATTTTCTTTTTGATTAAGAAAATTTGTAGACAATTTTCAATGACCTTTTGGTTTTATTTTATTTCTTTGAAATAATTTGGAATTATTAAATTTATTTCTTTTCATAAATAAAATAAATAAATTTCTAATTTAGATGACATTACAAATTACAAGTATTTTATAGTTGAATTCATGAGTCAATTGAAGCTATATCATCATGGAAAACCTGGAACACTGGACAGCCGTTTCGTCCTATTGTGGGACTCTTCTGCAGTGTGCATCCATGATCCCGCCTCACGAGATTTGAACTGACGATCAATCAGTCTCGCGCGCCAGCGCTTAACCCTTCATTCGCCCACAAGTGACGGTCTCGAAGAGGTATTTCCTGGAGTTCTAGTGAGAAGCAGTGACCAGTGGAGTTCAACAAGGTTTGTTGTGACATAATGACTCACTGAAGACAATCGTGGACGGTTGCTCAAACTTCGTGGATTAGTTGAAGTTAGACAAAAACACCGTTGGATACCGGACTAGTGGTCTAAAGGTTAAGCGCTCATATGCAAGACTGATAGGTCCTGGGTTTGAATCTCGCGAAGCAGGATCGTGGAGGCGCACTGCTGAGGAGTCCCACAATAGGACGAAACGGCCGTCCAGTGCTTTAAGGTTTTCTATGGTGTTCTAGCTTTAATTGACTCATGATTTTGCCTATAAAATTACTGAAATCTCCACAAAACCCTTTCTGAAATTAAAAATAATTTTCAAGATAGTGAACTTATGGAAATTATCTAAGTTTAATTTCTTATCGTAGAGTGAAATCATGTGATGAACTATTAAATGATTGAAACCAAAAATATCAATGAGACAATCGGAAAGTGAAATATGGATCATAACATGAACTGCCAACAATATGACGTGAACTTTAGGAGTTTATTTATGTATAAGATATTAGGTACATATGTCACAGAAGTTCCAAACTGTTATGTATTTATTTGTTAAGTTTGTTATGATGTTCATATCAAACAAAATGAAATAATGTCATAATAAATCAAAACTATACATTCTTTCTAATAGATGTAAGACTCATAATAAGATCAACGTAAGCTTATCATTTGAGCTTCCGTTATAAATGTGCATATTTCAATAGATTATGATTGAAAAGATTTAAGGATGGTTTTCAAAAAATAAAGTAAATTTTTAAAGTTGAAACGATGCCGAAAATTCACTATTTTACTAGACCTCAGAATCGCTTACTTCAAGTTATACCGATATGAAGGCAGGATTTGGAAATTTTTCGAAATGTATTCATAACATACTTTAATCGATGAACGTGAAACAACTTAATCATTAACATGCAAACAATTGTGTGACAAGAATTGCTTTTGTACCGCATATACTGTATTTTTTTCAGAATAATGTTTAATAATATAAGACAGATGATATATAAGCCAAGACAGTGAAACTATACCTTTAGTTGTCAGCGTGAGGAAATAAAAAGAAAACATTTTATTACAGTCAACAACATTCATTACTTCTATAGTTTCTAAAAGATTTAAAATAACTAGTTGGTCAGCAGGGTTAGACACAGTGATTCAATCACTTTTAAAAAAAAGTTTGTATTACATAAACATTAACAGACTATTAGTTTAAATTACATACTAAATGAATACACCATCGGTTAGTTGCATACTTTTCCGAGTATTTAAATAGATAGATGGAAGTATTTCCACATATATTTTCCCGCATTGAATTACAATCACTTTCATAGAGCTTCACTAAAGTTTCAAAGAACTACATTTAAAAAGTTAACAAAAATAGTACAAATTAGTGAATTTACGCACATAAATAATTACCCACTACTATCGATGAAAACATTCTATCCAATATCTGGACGAAGATAGTATGATTGGTGAGACAGTTTATAATTAAAACGCATTGAACCAGAAAAATTTGCATAGAATTAGTTAACTTATGAGAACATTCAAAAAGTGATAGTAGACAAAATTAACTTAATTCAGATGAAAAACTCAAGTTTGCATTATTTGGTGCTCGAGGGTAGTCAAAAGGATTAGCCACCGGTTTCAACGATATTGTCAATTCACAGCAATTCAGTCTCAGATAAATTTAAAAATAAACGACATATCAACATTTTTTGGGTGTAAATCAAATTATTTTCTCTGACTGATCTCATTTAAATTGATGCTTTTGGATCAAGCTTTACGTCCAATGTCATAAAGAGATCATCTTAATGATGTAAAATCATATGATACAATACTTTGTCCTACAGTTACAATTATTGATGATGTCTCAATTTATTTTCTGCGAGTTTGCCTCATATCAATTCACTTATGCTTATTTTTATTTCTTATCGTTTTCCACCTGGAAGTCTTTTATGATTGACCTTAAACAAAGCAAAATCTTTAACGTGTTAAATTCGCTACTTGATCAATGCAGAATACAGTATACAACGACGTCACTCGAACGTATAGAACCCCATCGTCACATATCAGAGGACAGAAGAAGACTTGGAAAGTGCTTGTTGGTTAAGAATCAAAATATACACAAAGTCTCGGGTATTTATAGATATTAGCGTTTGAGATGGTGGAGAAGATTTGTAGCTCAGGTGGGTGATTTTGACGTAGGTTTGTTCTCTGAGCTGGATGGTTCGGTCGTGGAGCTTTTATCGTCCTTCTGAACGACATCATCAGCACAAACTTCGGGTAGAAGTGAAGTGTTTGAAACATAGAAAACAAAAATCAAACCAATGGGAGATACAATCAAAACAAAGAAATAAACAATGACAGATTTAAGGTCAATAAGAACCAGTCAACATCGAGGTGCATAGGACATGCTGTGAATCACATGTGGAGAAATTCAAACACTTCACTTCTACCCGAAGTTTGTGCTGATGATATCGTTCAGAAGGGCGATGAAAGCTCCACGACCAAACCATCCAGCTCAGAGAACAAACCTACATCAAAAAAATATATTACCGTTTGTTCTATCAATATCATACATCAGCCAATCCGTAACGAAGCATGTTATGCTACTGTCCTATAGTAGTATGCCAGGTTGATATTCTAGAAAGCTCCATCACTTTTTGATTAAATGGAAACCGTTCGACTCCTCTGGAGGCTCCGTCATAGTTCACGAAATCTGTCCCAACAGTTATCAGACTTAAATTATCTGATTTATCTATCTCATCGTAATATATTAACGCATAATTAATCCTTGAATAATAGAACTATACAGAAAATTAGTTATTGCTTTCACGAAAGTTTATTTCTCTGAAATTAATGTATCCTCTATCGCCGAGAAAACTTATATGTTTTCTCTATTTTGAAAGTCGATAATTTCTTTCTGACAATTAAACTACAATTGATGCTTTTAAATTTTGAAACAATCAACTTGTTTTTTTATTATTTTGTAATAAAATGATGAACATTGAAAAAGTATCTCTCAGAATCACTTGAAACAAGCAATAAAAAGTTGATTAAAAGAATCTGAATTTCATTTTGATTACTGATTATGAATTTTTAAAAGATTATTTTTATAATTTAAAAGCTGATATTCGTATTATTTTAAATCATAATTAATATACACTTGGGATTATTTGCTTGTATCTTCAATCTTTATTTATAAAGCTTGAGACTCAAGACAATATCGAGGCAGTTCGCACAAAATGCACATATACCAACAAGAGACTGATCAATTGCAGTCCTAAATATCATTGGGAAGATACAAGAAAACATCATCAGGTGAATTTAAACTTCACCACATTTCACAAGCAGATGGCCATCAGGATTCAGTAACTAAGTGGATAACGTAATGGTGTTTGAAGCGAAAGGTACTGGGTTCAAGTCCCAGGAAAAACTCGATTTAAATCGGTCTAGTTCAAACTTGCTACAATACCATTATGAATTTATCGCTACTTATCGTATACGGACTAATTGGTACCACCACAAAAGCTCTCAAGTTTTGTTGCATTTCAGACCAGAACCACGACAGTGACAGGTATTTTGATTGTTTAATCTGTCGGTTGTAGATACGAAAGCCATCAGCGTCAAAACTGAAGCATTAAATATAATTATACCATAAAAAGAGATATCAAACAAGCAAGGGTAGTCGATCAAAAGCTGATCAATGTTATTGAACAAATTTCTTATGCATGTTTTTGGAATATCTACAATTTTAATGGATATAATAATAAAAGTGGATAACGCGATGACGTTTTAAGCGAGGGTACTGGGTTCGAGTTCCAGAGTGAACATCAACTCAGATGCAGGTACATCCAGCTGACGAGTCCCAAATAGGACGAAACGCGCGTCCTGGATTCCACTGCTAGCCATTATCCATCTTTACTTAATAATAATGTAGCTTATTTCTTTCTCATCTACGCAGATATTACTACTTATAATATTATCAATAAATCATTCATATTTATAACAAGATAGTGAACAAATAATAATAAATATTGATCAATGACAAGTAACGTAATATCACCGAATGTAGACTTATGTATTAAAATACAAAGTTGTAATGGACGTGTATTCGTGAAAAATAAAATAAAAATAAGAAAAAAGAGGAATGTCAGAAAAATAAGAAAGAATAATGTTTTGATATTTTACTCATTATTCTTCCTTGAATAATAATGTAAATAAATTTTTAAAAATCATAAATCTTTAACAATTTGTCGTAAAAACGGTAAACGAGAAAATAAAATGATATGAATTATTACTAATATTATATTCTCAGAAGGGGATTTTGTGGAGATTTCAGTAATTTAATAGTTG